TTAGGCGCCATGGCGACAGTAAATTTTTATCCAAATCGACTTCCAAGCAGATTACTTTAAGAATCTGAAGGATCGAAGAGGAATTTTCCAAATCGACATCCAAGAAGGATTACCTCGGGTAGAGTCCAAACAAGATCGAAGAGGAATAAGAGTTGAACAAGGTAGAAAATTTTTACAGGTTGAGCACCGAAAAGTGCTGTTTAAATTTGTTGTAGCTTTAGGTAGTAGTAACACTTCCTTCAGCAAAAAGCAAATAGATCCGCACGGCAAGAGAGCACGATGCGGACTGATCACCTTCGGCTTTGCTTCGTGAAGCAACTTGCCAACAATTTGCACGTTTCCTTCTACCGCCCTGAGTGAGCTGTGTCGCACAGGCTGCTTGTCATGAAAAAGAATGGAGAAGATTATATCATTATTGCTTTCCACTTCTGACATAGCGATATCACTCGGTTCGTTGATCGCTTGTCATTTTGTTATTTGAAGATATTTTTGATTCCTTGCTTCTGCGTAAGCTCCGTAGACGTAGGCGCGTTGAATCCGACAGTCGCCAAAGGTTTAACATGCACTAAAACCGCTTAAGGGACGACCACGAATCAGTAAAACCGTTTAGAGCTAAACATCTAAATTAGCCGGCGCCGGTGGTGTAGTGGTAAGCGTGACTGCTTTCTCACCCCAATGGGTCTGGGTTCAATCCCAGCCGAGGTCGGTGGGATTTTTCTGAGGCATAAAAATCTCTGGTCACGTCTTCCTTCGGAAGGGAAGTACAGCCGTTGGTCCCGGCCCATGTGTGTTGAATGGGTGCGATATCCTACGCAGGCGTGGAAGCTGCCTTCCTGCACATTCGATTGCCGTCAATGGATGGCAATCGATGTCTGTCGGTGATTGGCACTAGATTGCGGAACAGAGACCGACGTTAAATAAAGGAAAGAAAAAGAAACATCTAAATTACGTTAGATACGAAAATCGCGCAAATTGCGAACGCCGCGCGAGACAACCGTGAAGAAAAAACAGCTTATTATCACTTAAAGAGTGCCACCAAAATAAACGTGATAGCCTATGTTGGCAAGTTGATTAATTTTGGTTTCTTCTCTAGATATTCTACTTATTTACGATTGAGCTTTGTTTCAAATTTGTTATTTTACCGCACGTATCAATCACTTCAAAATTTCGCGACCGTACCGAACAAATTCGCGAAAAGTTAAACATGCATCAATACCACATAAGGAAAGATCAATTTTACAGTCACGTAGGGTTTTATTCATAGATTAACATTGACTGTTGTTTACAAATGTAAGTACTTGAACAAAAAGAAATAAGTTAACTCAAATGCTTTAACCACATACATCAGAGATTTCGCGTATTGAGAGAATAATATAGTAATGGAGTACAATAAACTCATGGGAAAACAGTACCTACAAAAGATTAAAAGTTAGTAATATGTCACATAGTTATTAATTGTCACATATAGTATAATTCCCTTGCAGACCAAAATAAATCTATCTGCGAAAAAATAAATAAGAGTGATTTGCGGAAAAACACGCCAGTATAGTACCCAACGTCAGTGCCTATACGTAAGCGTACTACAACGCGGCTCTCAAACAAAGGAGTAACAAGTGTGATACTATAACTCCTAGACTTGATCTTTAGTTTTCTCATGCAGTGGTTCATCAGAGAGGGGAAGCTTAGTAATCCCCATTGCCTGCCCATGGCGTCATTCTATCGCGGCATGAGCGAGCATCGCCGATCATAAACCTACCGTCTCCAACACTCTACTATAAAGCATGAAACTAAGCCCGCTCACCAGCAACAAGGTGCAAAAACTAGCAAAGGGGAGGGAATTACCAACTCCGTATTCAGAACCGAACTCCAATGTCAGTTCTGATGCAGTCGATGAATTGGAACTAAGTCAAAACGTACATTACGTGTGGCTAAATCTACATCATCTTAAATAAAATTGCATGGATTTAAAAAGTAGCATGGTGTAAAAGTAGTTAAAACTGAAATTAACGGAGTTAATTTAATTATGGCACTTGTCTGCGTTGGAATTAAAGGTTATTAACGGCTGAAAGTCTCCTTAATAAAGATATAAAAAAAGGTTATTACGTGCCCCTCGGCTGATACCAGAATACTCACAAAACTGTTGGAACTCGCTTCCATTGTCCAACACAATCGTGTAAGGTAATCCCATATCTTGCGCATGTTTCCCTCAAGAATCCAATCGTTGGAGACGTGGTTCTTGCGCGGGTTTGGAAGATTTTTGGCTACTTGCTGCAGGAATGTCCATAATGAGGCTGGATATGCGGCGGTGATTTCGCTACACTGGCATAGATGGAACGACGACGAGCAAAATTCTGGATTTCTTCATCAATCCCACGCCAGTAAACAATACTGCGTGCATCCGCTCTACGCCAGGATGACCACGATGTATCTGTTTCAAGATCCGAGAACGAAATACGGCTGAAACAACGATTCGGTCGCTGAACATGACGCAATCCATGATGACCGTAAATGATTCACCCTGCCATAAATTATTGAGCTTGAGCTTGAGCTTGATTGACCGCCCACGATTGCTACTCTGTTATTGCCAGATCAGCTGTAATTACACAGAGAACCCAGACGATGCTTGGGACTAGCAATCATCCTCAATGTGTAAAAACTGGTGATCTTAAATTAGGCAATACCAGCGCCGGCCGCGCCCGAACACAGGTCAAGAAAGGAATGGGAAGGATTGTGTTGACATGACACTCGCTTTGATGGAAGCCGAGAACACCTCTGCACTTCCACGAGAAATCACTGGGATGTTGGATAAGAGGGTTGGGTTTGCAGCAGGGTTCGTTTTGGTAAACGATAAGCTGAATTGATGTCCTAACGATCATATAACGCGAAGGAGCTTGGGACTAAACTCACGGTCTTCTGCTCAGTAAGCAAAAACGCTTGCCACTAGGCAGACGAGCACCTTTTTAATCACCGAGTTGCTGTTATTACCATGTAGTCATATTAACAAATAAAACGATTGACGAATCTTGATTGTGGATGGGCCTGAGATTAGACTCATGATGTTCTGCTCAGTAAGCAAAAACGGTTGCTCTAAGGCCACCGAGCCCCTCATATCACATAATACCGTTGCTCTAATTTTTGTATCCATTCAAACCCGGAACCAACGACAACAACGAGTTTCGCAAAATACACGATACACAAGCGATTTTACTATAAATCTCTTTGATATGTAAGGACCTGGGACCGCGTTTTTCTGCTCAGTAAGCAGGCCACTGTAACCGACGATCTTTCAAATCCGAAAACTAAAAACTACGAAAAAGTACTTAGGCCTTCATTAAGTTCCACTTTCACGCGACGTACAATGTTTCAATTTGCTCTTTACGTATTGTCTAGGCTAGGCCCTTTTCAAAATTTACGCGAGAAATACGCACAATCGTCACCTACCTCGCAAAACTGGTTCCAAACGACAACAAAGGCATAAGCAACGATGGATTGTTGAACTTTGCTGGCTCCGGTGGTGTAGTGCACAGCAAAAAAATGTAATATCGATCAACGTAATTCAAGCTGATGTATGGAATAATGATGTAATTGTAATTTTGTAATTTATCAGCACACACCCTGGTCGACCACTGTAAACCAATCTGCCGTTCAGCGTTTTCGGTTTTTGTTTCTGGATCTTTAGTTGCCTCTGTGATATACTTACTTGCGGCATACTATTTTGGGAGTGTATATGAGCGTGTAGCATGTACGGTAGCTCATCTCTCATCGTGATGGTGGGACATAGTAGACAAATTAGAGAGAAAACAAGGAGGTATTAGTATTAGTTATATGTAAACAAACAAAACAAAAGTTAGATAATGCGGCACTGTAACTACTACTATTTTAGAGGTATGATTCGTCATGTTTAACTCAATGTTTCAATTGAGGCAAACTATCTATCTTACAATTACAAAAGCAAACCTAAACTTACAATTATATGCAAATGCAAAATGAAACTTGACAAATCATCGTCAATTCCCTTATTCCAGGGCAGGGCCTGACGATTTGAATCTAATTTTGATCAGTGAACGGGCACCATATGGTACATTTTCTCACCATGAACCTATCATTTCCAGCCTATCTGAACTATTTAATAAATGGAAACCATAACATGGGTTACGCTCCCTCTAAGCGGGCCCTCCGCATCCTGTCTCTGTCTTATCTCAAATACAAAATGCCAATGGTATGAATGTATCTATATATAACTTGGAAATGACGTACAATCAAATAAACCCGTAACCCACTCACTTGGTCAGGCTTCAGAATCGTCCAGTGGGCAGTGCACTCTACACTCCAAGTTCCCTTTTTTTTCAAATTTACCACAAATTTGATATTTTATTCACCCTGCCATAAATTATTCAAAAAAAAACTTGAAATTTCCTTTTTCATACTTTGTTAGCGTCCCTGATCACCCGGTAGTAAGCCGTTTCTGAAACCCAGTTCGAAGAGTCTCTTGCTACTGTTGAGTTTTCGGGTAAATTGTTTCGGCAAGAGTCACTTACATTACTTTGGTTTCCGAAGGACGCTCTAGTCGAATAAAGTTCGCCGCCACATGAAGCTAAACCGGTGATTACATCGGTAGTCCTACCGACGTGGATATTTGGAACGGAAAATATTGCATACCGTCTACTAGTAGAGAGCAGTTAGAAGACGAAACGTGAAAAAGGTGAATGAACCGCTAAATGCACTAACTGTTGAGAAAATGATTCATCGTCCATATGCATCACAAAAATTGTCAGACTACGGTGGACTAGGCACCAGGTAATCTGCAGAGCCTCCACAGACAGCGTGTCTGGCGAATGGAATGAAGACGTCTTCAACCAGGTCAACCAGGCCTTAACCTCAATGGTAAGGTACGTAAATACTTACCGGAACATGCCGCCACCATCATATTCTTTCATCTTCCTCTTTCGTCTTCTTCATGTCATCTGGAATACATAGGAAAAAAGCAAAAAGAAAAGATATTTGATTACTAACCTTTGTGCAAAATAAAATTTATTTAACGCTTCCAAGGGCTACATGGGTAATGCCAGCTCTATTATACTATAATAATAAATAAGTTGACATGTTTTATTGCGTTGATTCGTGCACAGGGTTCACTTGAAAACACTCCTGTTTGTATTTTTTTACTTGTTTAAACCTATCAGCTATTTTATGTGTTACAAGATCACTTATATGTTTGCTCTAACTTAATCTCTATCACTTTAAAGAAGGTAATGACTTTGGTAAAAATTATGCATAAAATGTTGTTAGGTTTGCCGTTTTGACGTGAAAGTATCTTACCCCTTCAAAAACATATTCAAAGGTTTATTAAACAGTAGTTTATTTACGCAGAAGCGGCCTCGGTAGCCTGCTGTCCGTTTTGTTGTTGAGAAGTTATTTTGTCCACAGTTGCACTCGATTGTTGGCTACTAGAGCTGGCGTTTCTGGAATGTAGACTCGTACCATCGGCACTGATCGGCGTTTGAACGAGCGGAGTTGGCGGATTTTTGTTTCCTTTCAACTGATTCGCTTTTGCCGACATCTGCATGTGGTATCTGGGAACGGGAATACAACAATGATTCAAGGAATAGACATATTGCACTAACATCAACCAGCGGTGGCTTACTTGTAAATGTTTTCTGTGCTTTCAACAACGCCCTGTGTCAAATTCAGGCTCCTTCCCTTGACGCCACTTTCTTTGGCTGGAGGTGACCACCAGTTCACGACTCGACCAACCAGCGGCACTTGACGCAAAATGCCATCCTGCCAGAGTTTCTCCTCGGCCTCGCGCTGTAGATCGGTTTCGGCCGCTTCGATGCCCTTTTTCAAAATTTCCGTCATGGTGTCGAGGATTTTCGAATTCTCCTGAATCTTCAGACCAGTTTGAATGACAAGGTCCAAGAGCTCCTCCACATCGGTTTCGTTGGTGACCATTCCGAAACTGTGGAACAGCAATATTAAAGTTTCTGTTTTTCGTCTAAATTTGAGACTAAACAGTATACTTACCGGACGCAGATAAGGCCATCACTGCCTTCACCAAGGGAAAATGCTCCATCGTGGGCTTTCAACATATCGACTAGCGCCGTGTTCAATCGATTGAGCTCCGTTTTCGCCTGATCGGTTAGTAGTGTTTCCCAGCCTTCCGGAACGTAATGTACACTGCCTAGACCAGCCCAATCGTTCAGTTCTATCAACCGCAGCACCGGGCTTTCCTCTACTAGCTTATTGAAACGGCTCTTATGCTTCACAGTTGCCATCAGTATTTCAATTTGTGCATCAATGAATTGCGCGACATTTTCAATAACTTCAGTTAGCGGAAGCAAGTCCCCATATCCCGGAGCGAATGGGGAGTAACGAATGCACGTGCCATACACGGGGTGGTTGATAATTTCCAAGTTCAGTTGCGAACAATCACGGAGTAAAATCTGCCCAAGCCAACCATTGAGGCGATCGTAGTACGAGGAGTTGGAAATTTTTTCAATCGATTTACTGACAGGATCGTTGGCCGGTTTTGCTTCACCTTCGTTTTTCAGCGATTCTGTACCAACCGTTACCGCAGTGTTATTAGCACCTTGAGAAGCCGTAGATGTAGTTTCTTCAACGCTGGCACAGGTTTCTCCACTGCTGCCATCAAATTGAAAAACAACAACAGGGACGGCTGTTTCGAACAAGATCTGTAAAATGGCAATGCATTATCAAAATGGTCGTGAAATAAACAGTCCGTTAGTAGTCATACACAATAGTTGATGGGGTTACTCAGTAGCGCTCTGAACGATTTCCCAGCTTCCTGTCTGGGCGTCTTGCTCTGTGAAATAAGACAGATGGTTAGTTAATTCAATAGACAGCAAAATCTATTCACATCGACTACTTACCAAAATTCTTATGCCTTTAATTCTACTGAGCACTTCGTGAATGTGTCGACACGAATCGAATGCCATAAAAATTCGCTCACTAATCGAATCAGCACCCATGGTTTGCATTATTGTCCACAGACCAATCGCAGTAAGTCTATTGGAAAGGATGGGATCTACATCGAACAGAGTAAGAGCACTCACCGGTACCTGCCGATGCATCAGTACGCATGGAACTCCAGTGATGCCCAGCCAGTTTCCAAGATTCAGCGTCATCGAGTCGGGAATCGCTTTAATCTGAGCGGATTTCATTAATATTAACATTCATTAGTAACATGCAACGTAACGCTGTAACAATCTTACCCCTGTCAGTGTCCCTTTCGTGACAGCCAACGCGGCTAGGCAGTGTCCTTGACAATGCAACCACATGTTATTTAAACTGCACACGTTGCGAATCACCGTCAAGTTATCCACCTCACCGCAAATCGATGATCCCAGATCGGCAATAAGAAACAGTGGAATCTTTCCTGCTTCCACATCGGCCGTCAGGATCCTTTGCAGCTCGGAAGCATCCATTGTGCCGCGCACACCCAAAATTGTATTACAAGGTACAACACGGATGCTTGTCGCTGGAAGACCTACGTAGCGGCAAGTATTTTGCAAAGCAAACAGCGAACTAGTCTCCGAAATGTACAGGGTTGCATTCTGCAGTTGAGCCAAACGATTTTCCATGGATTCCGGAAAGCGTATAGCGATTGCTAGCCTCACAGCATGAAGAATACACTCAGCACTGTCCCGGTAGAAGCTAGTACTACAATCCATGTACCTAAACATATGGCTGAGCCAGCGATTGCTATCCGAAACTACCTTGGAAACAATGCGGCTCAGATGTTGCCTATCCAATGCTGATAGGTAAGCACCAATAGAGTGGGTTATTGTAGCCAGTTGGGAAGAGTCGTCTAGCGGAGGAAGCACAAAATCCGTCTCCTCATCTACGTCCAGCTGAGAAATAAGCGTTTCCAAAGAAGTAAGCACCTCTGCAGTTGGTTTCTTGTCTGGCTGCAGAAATCCAGGAGTCACCGGCATCTGTGGAAACATTGAATTTTGCTGATGCTGCTCCAGAGCCACCTTCACATATTCCAATCGGTTCAGCACCTGTGAGGCTTGAGTTTCCAGCTCGGCCAAACTGGATCGAACCTACATGGGAATATAGGACGAACAGAAAACGTCGTCGTGACATATCACTCATGAAAAAAAAATCGATTGCACTTGCAACTTACGTTTGCGGCTGGAATTTCGTCTGGTTGTGGTTCCCGCACCGTATTTATCCCTACAGGAGCATTTGATTCACTTGGCGTCTCGGCCATTTTCTAGAATAAGTAAAATTTTGTGCTGTAGAAGGAAAATTTATCACTTTTCACGCCCCAGAAAATTTCTCTTCAAAAACACTCGCAGAACTTTGCCGTTTATTATGTGGCAATCTGACACATCACTCAATCTTTTTGATGACAGAGGCGAAAACCGTACATCCTTTCGATTTTTCGGCGGCGGAATAGTGATATCTATAAAATGTAATTCAATGAAATCATCATTGATTTTCCTTTGCCCAAAATTAACTCAATTAATTTTTTCGAAAACATTAATTTTTACGACAAGTACCTCAATTAAATTCGTTCACCCGTTGGGCAAAAGTTTGATATTATAACAGTGTGCCATTCCAAACCTATACGGCGGTGCAAGACCCTACCCGTCTTCAACCACTGCATCCGAGTATTTGTTTACATATTGTTTTTAGATGTGGTAGTGTGGTGGCGTGACAAAGACGCTTTTCTGACAAGCACCAGCACGTAGCAGCCGAGATATGTTTTGACATTTTGAAACGGGCTGGAAACATAAAAGCTGGGTGGGTGGGTGCTGGGTGGTAATCGTGAAAGCTTACACTGTAACTGGCGATTACCCATTAATGGGTGAAAAAGTACCCATTTTGTGGTAGTGTATGGACCTGTCAAAAAATGCGTAAATGAAAATTTCAAAAAGTGGGTACTTTTTCACCCATTTCCGAAACCTGTTCAGGGATCAAAAATGGGTACATATTTACCCATTATTGGGTGAAAAATATCTTTGTTGCATCATAACGTTGCTGACATACTTGGTTTACATTTTCGAGTGCCTTTGTACAAAAAAGTACAAAAAGTGATATATATGAATAGTTTAAAGAATGGTGAAAGCTTCAAAAAGCTTCAAGGTAAGAAATACTATATTTTTTGAATGATTTCTTAGCTTATAACGTTGTTAAAAGCATATTTGTTTCATTCCACAAATTTGAGTCTCATAAATACGTTTTAAAAAATGGGTACTTTTTTACCCAGTTACGGAAAACAATGCGTTTTGGAAATGGGTAAAAAGTACCCCATGATTTGACGTATAAGCTCTTTACCCATTAGTGGGCAAAGACGTTTTACCCATTTTATGAGTTTACCTACTTTACCGCGAAATGGGCACTTTTTCACCCATTAATGGGTACTTTCCAGTTACAGTGTAAATGAAGAGGTAAAAGCATGAGCGCATCAACGATGATAGCAGAGTTGCCAGATTGTCTTCAAGTTTATCGTAAGCGAAGGTTTGTAAAAACGGTAAAACCAGAAGAACAACCTGTTTTTTTCTGCTGTAATCTCTTACACGGTAACTCCAAAATACATAATAATGATTACAAAGTAAGCATTTTCGATGGAAACTGAGACTACCCATTAAATGAGTAAAATTTTACCTATGTTATTGTAATTAAAACTACAAAAATCAGTAGTAGTATGGATTTTTGAGTAACAGACACTCATAAATGGGTAAATTTTTACTCGTTTAATGTGTAGTTCCAGTTGTCCTCGAAAACTCTTACTTTGTAGTCAATATTGAGCCTTTTCTAGTAATCATTGTGTATTTTGCGGTTACCGTGCTCAAAACGCGGTGGGTAATAAGTTCGACAGACCTAACAGACGGAAATTCCCTTATACATTTCATCAAATGTCTATTGTTGAGTTTATGTGCACATATAGAATGTATACCTGAGGTCCTCTAATAAAAAAAATACTCGAACGATAACCCAAATGATAGAACTAATGATTTGGATGTTACTCTGAACACGTCTTAAAGCAAAATAATCATAAAAATAGTATTAGGGCTCCCTAAAACCATCGTAAATGAAACACATTATTAAAGTAAGTAATTTTTCAAATTTTGTAAAAATGTTAAAAACTGGTGCTCGAACTCAGTTCAGTTCGAATTGTCTCAGCTGGGATCGTGTTTGGTCCTTCAATCCTTAGGGTAGGACGGGGCAAGATTGTCACCCGGGGCAAGATGAGCACCCTTCCAATTTACATAAAAAATCATATATTTTTCAAAACTGCGTCTACGTACCCCTAAACAATGATCCTAAAATGCAACGTTGTAAAAATTACTTAGAAATATTCAATAACTACCGAGATATTGAAGAAAATATACCGAAGGCAAAAAATCCACTCTTCGTAATAATAATTTTCTATACTCAATATCCCTTTTCTGCTTCTGTTTCAACAACTTTCAATTAATGTTTCAACTTCGTGCTGGTATTCTATTTCGATAAACTAAGAAATATAGTTCTTAAAACCCAAAAATAACATAAAATAACAAATTCTGCTGTAGGCGCATGTCTTCCCCCGCAGGGGTGTTCATAATGCCCGGGCTGTTTGAGAACGGTGTAAAAAAAGTTACTTTTTTAATTCATATTCTAAATAGTCAAATTTGTATACATTGCATTATATCAACCCTAGGGAGCTAGAGAAGACGTTAAAGTACTAGGACAGATAATATTTAAATGTATTAATTGCGATTATTACACATAAAATTGATTTTAACCTTAGGGTGGCGATCTTGTCCCGTCCTACCCTATGTCTAAACTTGTTATCATGAAGCAAGTGAAGCAGCTGATCCATCAATGAGGGCAGGTTAAGGGGCGAGTGACTGTGGAATGTGCAACGTTATCCATTCAATCACTCCCCTTTACTGCCGTTATACGCATAAGAGTCCCACGATGCATAAGGATTGCATAGAACATGGGACAGTTATGCGTAGAACGGCAGTTTAGCTGTGCACAAAAAAACGCCTCCGTACGAAGTTGACTATCTACAAGATACTGATTAGACCGGTGGTCCTCTACGGCCACGAGAGGACTATGCTCGTGGACGATCAACGCGCCGTGGTGTTTTCGAATGGAAGGTGTTGCGTACAATCTACGTTGGAGTGCAGATGGATGACGGAACGTGGAGGATGCGAATGTACTACGAATTGCACCAGCTGCTTGAGAGAACCATCCATCGTCCACACTGCGAAAATTGGGCGACTACGGTGGGCTGGGTACGTCGTAAAAATGCCGGACGACGACCCAGTGAAAATGATTCTCGAAAGCAACCCAACAGGAACAAGAAGAAGAGACAAGGTGCATCGACCAAGTTGACGGCGACCTGCGGACCCTTCTCAGACTACAAGGCTGGGGACGACTTCTTTGGACAGCAGAGGACATCATGGTCTTAGCCTGATTGGTAGGGAAGTAGTTGTGCACACCTTCGTGCATATACACATCTTGGGGCCCATGCATTAATTATATCACGCTAAATCGAGCAAAAAATTAACACCTCCCCCCTCCCCTATCGTGACGTTTTTCCTATACCTAATGCATTGCTTGTCACAAAATCTTGGACCCCCCCCCCTCCCAACTTAGAGTGTGACATAATATATGCATCAACCCTTGACCAGAGTGAACAATACGATAAACATAAACATTACAAGTATGTAGTGCCGCTACCGCGTTCTGATCGTTGTTTTAGTACTCGACAATAAATCAAGCCGCACTTTGAACGGGCAATCTTTGCGCAGTGAGTTTAAAATTAGTTTTTAGGAGTGAAACAGTGAAAATGGAGCAGCTACGTAATAAAATTGATGGTGAAAGCTATCAATAGCTAGTTGGTTACGTATACAACTCTAACAAACAGTTCGTTGGTATCAATAAATACAGAATTATCATTTTCACAATATTTTTTTTAATATTCTTTCTGGACGAAACAATTTATGCATATATAAATCATTCATGGGGCATTCATTCGTTTCTACCGATATGGGCAAGGTTTACTCAGTTGACAAATGTCATAATCTGAGTAACCGTTACCCAGTTTCCTCCATAGGCTCGTCTACTCAAATTTGAGTAAAATCATGTTTACTCATTTTTGGGTAACTTCCCTTTTGGCTGGACTGAGTGATTTTCGACTCAAAAATGAGTAGCCACAAAATAGCGTGTAAGCTTTTTCACATTTATATCGCTATGAAGCAACTGCAAACTCTAGAGGGAATTTATATCTGTGAATGTAACCAGCTCGTTTTTTTTGCTAACGTGGTTAAAATGTTTACATTTAATTATCTTAAAGATAAATCGTCCAGCTCAAACCTTTGTAGGGGTAAGAGGTGGGACCATCATCATCATCATCATCATCATCATCATCATCATCATCATCATCATCATCAAGATAGTACCAGAGCTGAGCTAAAAAGTTGAGCACGTTTCTTCGGAACCTTCTGGTCTTAGAGTTACCTCTATGGTTGCAGCGCGTATGATTTCGAAGAATGGAATGGATGAAACGAAAACTGTCTGATCGCCGATAGATCCTGGATTTTTGAAAACATTAAGACAAAAGGGCAGAGCTCGAAGATACTACCAACCGTTTGAAACTAACGATTTTGAATATGGCTCACTACTTGACTAGCCTATTGGTCCCAAGTACATATATAAGCGTTCCCCATTCTATTCGAAATTCTAGTACTAAACTATGTTATTTTCATTCGCTATGAACGTTTGACAGATAAAATGAGGGGTTCGTGGATTTTCCTGTGTTTCGAGGGGTGAATCGATTAGCTTGGGACCAAAGAGAGTACCAGAGCTGAGCCAAAAAGTTGAGCACGTTTCTTCGGGACCTTTTGGTCTTAGAGTTACCTCTATGATACTACTAAATATAGGTGTCAAGTTGTTGGACTGCTGTATTTGTCAGTGATTGCTTGACCGGATATTGCTGCTTTGACGGCGATTCTTGGTTGAAGTTTTCCGGCACCTAGCGAAGCAGATTGGAACGCTGATATCACACTTGAAAAATTTCATGTAAATTTAAATCTTTTTAGATGTACTCAAAAGAAGCGGCTTAATTGACCTAAATTTACGTCTTTTCTTAAATTTACTCGAACCACAAACTGAAGACATATTTTTACATTTCGTGACGTAAATTTCTGTCACTGGTGCTCATTTTTACTGATTTTGATATTTTTTCAAAATCCTGCAATTTTCCATCTTTTAGACATAATTTAGTGTGGATTCTCAAGCTATTTGGTGTTGCAAATGGTTTGGTTCTCCGGCAATTCAACGGGCAAAAAATAGGCTCTCCTGTGGATATGTGGTGCATTGCATGCTTA